TTCAAGCCCTTTTCATTAGTTTTCTAAAATTTTATGAGGGACCTTTTCATGAGAGAGGATCCTCGTCGGATCCTCTATGTGAGGATTTCAGGGATCCTCCAATCACATTCATTTATCATACATCGTGTGATCAGTTTTTATCAAATACGGTTTATATTCAATTTTAAATAAAAAAATTTACAATAATTTATGACCGCACGATGTATAATGAATTGATGTGATTGGAGGATCCGACGAAAATCCTCCTGACCTTTTCATGTGAAGCTCCCACCTTCAACACGTTTATTATGCTCACTAATTTCTAACCCAATGAAACGAGAAGGATTTACATGGAGAACAATATTATGTATTAAAAACTTATACATGTTATTGTTTGTTAAAAAGATACGCAATAGTAATCGTGAACCCATTCAAATAAGTCATTTTCCTTCGCATAACATTTGAACTATTAGATCTCGATGCTACGGCAGCAAGATTCTCTTTACATGAAATTGCTTTCCAACAGAGAATGGAATACTTAAACCAATGAGAAGTCTGAAACGTAAAGAATATGTAGCGCAAATAATGGGAAAAAGAGTTGTGTATAATAAGACGTACTCAAAATAGGTTAATGGGATTTCATGGGGGGCCAAGGCCAAATATTCATTTTAACAGAAGTGCTACTCTTAAAAGTGGGATTTGGACTCTCTGTCTCCTTAAGTAATTTTTTTTTTTGAACAAACGATATTATCTACATTAAAGGAATAGTGGAATGAGCTAAATCTCACAATAGACTAGCAATAATGTGGTTTAAATTCGCATTTGAATAGAATCTAACCTAAGACATTTCGCTTACAAGTAAAGAGGAATATTATTAGACCGTAATTCTAAGTGGCTTTGTCCCCTCAAGTTTTTATATATAATATTTTATAATGTTAGAACGAGAATTAGTGTTAAACTATTAGAGACAAAAAGTCTATAGAGAGTCTCTTTTTCTTTTTTAAAAAAATGAACAACTGGTGACAAGTCAAGATTATCCACTCATTTTAAAGACCGGAAAGACTTATGCATTTTAACCTCTCTCTAGCTATAAGAGAGTTTTATTTTAAAAGAGTCTGATTAGCATATCTTGATGTACCAAAAAAAAAAAAAATGTTATGGGTCGACTTTATTTTTGACTTTGGTTAACGTCTAATAATAATATTATTGTGATAGTGTGGTCCCCTAGATTTGGATGGCTGAAAATAGAGCCTGAAAAAAAAAAAAAAGAACTCGAACCTAAAAAATCCAACCTAATAATCCGAATCGTTCGGCAACTGAAATCGAATTTAATGAAAATGTCAGTATGGTATTTTGAGTTCCATGAAGGGTTGCATAAAACAGAACCGAACCAAAAATATCTTTTATTAGTTTTATTAAATAAATTAATATTAACCGTTGGACTTGGTTGAAATTGATACTCAGCCATCCGTTTAATAACTTTATTCAGTTTAACTCTCCATTCTCTCAACTCCGATGCCTCATCTCCGTCTCTTAACTTAGTTTGCAACTTCTCTAGTAACATCATACCACACCACCCTCAACTCTCTTTCTATATCCCTTTGACCCTCTCTTTCTCCTCTTCGCCGTCGACCACACATACGCACATGTGTGCTCTCTTCAGCGTTCAAGGTACGATATTGCATATTATTAAGATAGGAATTTACAAAATTGAATTAGGGCTTTTCGATTGAACAGTTGGGGACACCACCTTCCTCAGACGAGTTCAATGTCGAATTTGGAGAAATAGCTAACGTCTTGGAGTAGTGGATTGCGCTGATGGGTAGGAAACATGTAAAAATCAGTTTACCTGAGCCAACCGAATACTAAATTTTTTTCCCATTTTCTTGATTTTTAGGAAATCAAAAATAACGGTTTGATTTTAGTTTTTTTTTTTTCTTTTACCAAAATTATCAGTTCGATTTTGGTATGATGTTTTCTCTTATCATGAGAACTTAAATAAAATACATTCTGCATTATATGATACATTGATCTAATAATATACGTTAAAAACTTACGTATATCATTATTTATTGAAAAGGAACGCATTAACAGCCGTAAACCTATTCAAATAAGTCATTTTCCTTTTCATAATATTGAATTATTAAATCACAATCTCACGTAGCGGTGGTTTCTTTAAATGTAAATTGCTTTCAAACTAAGAATGGAATACTTTACCTAAACCAATGGGAAGCGAGAAACGTGAAGAATATGTAGTGCTAATTATGGTAAAAAGTTGTGCAGCAATTAAGACTTGTATCCAAAATAGGTTAATGGGATGTTGCGGGTCCACTTTATTCTTGCCTTTGGTTGACGTCTAATAAATAATGTTGTGATTTTGTGGTCCCCAAGGTTCTAGGATTTTCTTTCGAGGGCGGATCGTTTGCCCTTATGTTTGGATGTTTTTTTATCCTTTTTTATTTATGCGATCACGGTTAAACCATGTTAACATTTTATATTTATATTATTTTTTATCTTATTATTTTTATAAAAAATTAATATAAAATGTTGACGTGATTTAACCATGACCACACAAAATAAAAAAAGCTGGAAATGACATCCAAATAGAAGGGCAAACAATATGTCTCCTTTTCTTTCATAGTCAAGGAGTATTGTTTTTTCCATAACAAAAGAGGACCGTTTTCTGTAGCTGGCGGCATTGAAGAGGGTGACATTTGAGTTCAAATTTAATGAAAAAGACTAAAAAAATTTCAGTGTGACGGGAATACGACTCGGTACATCAAGTGTCATAATACAAGTGGTTGAAAACTGGAAAAAAAAAATCTCCAACTATTTGTACTATGACACGATGTATCAGTCTGTATTCCTGGTATACTAAAAAATCTCTTACTAAAGATCGAATTTTCCTCGAAGAATCACGCAACAATCAAGGAAGGTTAAAAAAAATAGAGTAGAGCTAGTCACGTGTTTCGTTTTACTTCTAACACGCGTTTGTTAATTTTTGTTTTGTAATTTTCTTTAATGCATTTGATCTAATGATCGAAAATTAAGAGAAGTATGAGAGAGCCCTAGTGGTTTCACTAAGCCTCTCTCCAAGACAGTGCCTAGATCGTTACGCCTTTTGTGCGGGTTGGAACTTACCTGACAAGGAATTTCCCTACCTTAGGACCATTATAGTTATGGTCACCGTTCACCACGGCTTCGGTCGTCGGATCGCCTATCATCAGGTCACCAACTTCCTTGACCTTCCGACACTAGGCATGCATCAACTCTATACATGGTCTTAAAACGGGTATGTAGATAACACCATCCAAAAAATAACCCAAACTTAACCATACCAAACTCGAGCTGAGAAAATTGAACCTGATAATCCTAAATCATTCGATAAATGAACTTAGAACTTATCGAAAATGTCAGTATGGTATTTAGTTTCCATGAAGGGTTTGTTTGGTAAAATAGAACCGACCAGAAAATATCATTTATTGTTTTTATTAAATGATTAATGTTAACTGCATGATTTGAATGAAATTGAATCTCAGTTCTCCGTTGAAAATCAATTCTCTCTTAGGTCTTCACTCAATTTCACTTTCCTCTTTATCGACTCCTACACCTTCTCTCGACTCAGTTTGCAACTTCTCCGGCCACACCACACCATCAACCCTCTCTCTCTCTCTCTCTCTCTCTCTCTCTCTCTCTCTCTCTCTCTCTATATATATATATATTTATATCCTTTCGACCCTCTCTGTTCCTCGTCTTTTGATATTTTAATTTTAATTTTAGGAATTTGTAAATCGAATTTCGGCTTTTGATTGAAGGGCTGGCGACACCACCTGCCTTGGATGAGATTTGGCGCTGGATATAGAGAAATGGCTAGCGTCTTGGGGCACTGGATTTGCGGTGACGGGCGAGGAACATGGAAAAATTGGTTAACTTGACTCGATCGAATAACGATTTTTTTTTTTTTCTCGATTTTCAGTAGACCGATAAAATGGCTTTGGTTTAGATTTTTTTTTGCCTTTATGGAAATTATCAGGTCAGTTTTTGTAACCGGCGCCAAATATGAAATACTCTAAAAATTTTAAAGAATTTTAATGAAAAGTTCACCGTATTGTTCATTTTAACAAAAAATTATATTTTTACATTAAAAAATTAATATTAATACTATTTATTTTATTTTTTATTTTGTCCTTATTATTAAAGTTTAAAATTTTCAAATCTTTTTTATTAGTTTTCTTAAAATTTTATTGATTTTTTTAAATATACTTCTTAGTATTGAATGATATGAAAAATGATGGCTGATATTAAAATAGAAAATTTAAACATTTGTGAAAATCAAATATACCAATTAAAGCACTTGTAGCATTAAGACCAACTCCAATGGTGGGCTAAAAGCTAAATTACCTCCCAAAATTTTCCCTCAAACCCACTCCAGCCCAAGGGGAAATTTTGAGCTAAATGCTAAATGCTAAACCAATGCCAAATTCCCCTGAAATTTAGCCCAGAAATCGGGGTGGACTCTACCCAATATTTATTGGAATTTAAATTTTTTTAGATTAAAATGTTCATAAAATTAATTTACGATAATCTACATATTTATTTTTTTTTAAATTTAATTTAACAAAAAAAAGCCTAAGTTCATTCTTTAATAATGGGCTAAAATTTTAGGATAGAACGGTTGGAGTAGAAAAGTTGCTTTTGGGCTAAAAAATTTGATTTTTAGCCCAACCATTGCAGATGGTCTAAATGATACATAATATGAAAATCATTTCAACAGTTAAATTTTAATTTTGAAAATTTTAAACAAGTAACAAACAGTTAAAAAATTCGAAACATATCATTTAGTATTACGATCAAGTAATATTTATCTCTACTTGTAAATAAAAGGTATTACGTTCAATTTTCACAAAAAAAAATGAATTTTTATTATATTAGTGTTAGTCTATTATAAAATTTAGTTTATTCTTTTAACCCAAATAAAATAGATAATATCATTTATGCAGACAGAAAGAAAATGGAAAATCTGAAATGTCCGAGTCACGACAACGGCACTCGGGCTGGAAGGTAAGTAAAATTAATAAATGATGATTCGATCGCTACACTAGGACGCCTTTCTATCTCTGTCTATATACTCTGTCTATATAATATAACCTGAGTGTTGGGATTTCTGGGTTTATCAGGGCATACTAAACCAGATAGGAATCGGCGGGCGAGAGAGGGTGGGTGGTGCCACTGCAATCCTACTTCTTCTGCTCTTCCACTGCCTTCCAGGTATTTTCTCTTCATTATTTCTTGCTTTGTACTCTTTCCAACTTATATTTGTTCCATTAATTTCTTCTTCTTTTTTTTTCTCAATTTATATGTTGCGGTGAGAAATATGTCCTTTAGTTTTCTTTTTCTGTCGGCGTTTGTGATGATTGCTAATAAAAGAAACGTTTGTGATTAATTGCATTCTTCAAAGTTTATCTCGGATTTTTTTTATTTTTATAATTTGTATAATAAACCGGTTACTCGCATTCAAACACTTACTTTATTCCCCATTTTTTACAAATCTGTTTGATTTTTTTCAACCAAAATCAGTGTTATTTTTTCCTTTAAATTTTTAAGCGTTGAGTGCCTAATTCGGTTTGAATTTCAAGAAATCCAACCGATGGTTAATTACGGTCCTTTTTTTTTTTTACAGGGGTATTTTGGTTCTTGAGTTTGATCTGAGGGGTGGTGATCATCCTTGATTTATATATTATCAAATATTTTTCATATTTTCTGTAATTTTTTTTAAAACTAAACAGCGCTTGTGCCAATACCAATTTAGTATTGTTGTGTTAAGATTAATCAGCATTTGTCTATATTTATTATTTTTATCTAATTTAAAATATGAAGTAAACATTATGCATATTGTGTTGATTAAGTATTATTCTCTATCTCTTGCACATGACATAAATTACCATGGCTGTTGTACCTGGTTAATATATGGTCGGCTCCTACTTTATACGTTGTGTATAGGTTTTCTTGGAAATCTTTTGGTACAGAGGTTGGTACTCAGTATGTCTACACTGGAAACGACTGAGGAAAGGAATGTCGATCGCTTTCCTTACACCATAAAGAGGCCAAGAGTTGATGCTGTTCGAGAATTCCCGATAGGATGTGGGTTATTTGATGCTCGGGTGCTACCAAGCAAGTCTGAAGATCGTGGCATCATAGACCAATCGTCAAATATTGTTGGCCATACGGAGAAGAATGATAAGGTGTATGGGCTATTTTCTCAGTCCTCTAGTGTTATGAACATACCAATGGACAATTGCCTCTCACCTCGAAAGATGTTTAGAAGTATTCCCGTTGAGCGGGATTTTCCCCAAGGTTGTGGAAGGGTGGTGCCTTCTTCTTTGAGAAATAAACATGCAAATGATAGGAGCTCGTCTTTATTGGTCAAGGATGCTAAGCTCAAGAAGGATGTTATTAATCATGAGTTGAGTGTTGATGGCGTGGATGACGTACATGTAGCCCAGCGTTGCAAGGTGAAGGAGGCTTTGGGTGCATATCAAGAGCTATTGACTAAGCTTTCACAAGAATACGCTAAAAAGTCCGACAAAAATGTTGGTTGTAAGATTCATATGGAAATCGTAATGCGTCTTAAAGAGCAAGGAAAGTGTTTTAACACAAGGAAACAATTAGGACCCATTCCAGGAGTTGAAGTTGGCGATGAGTTTCAATACAGGGCTCAACTAGTTATTATTGGCCTTCATCATCCTTATCAAAATGGTATTGATTACATGACGAAGGATGGGAAAAGTGTGGCCACTAGCATTGTGGATTCAGGGCGTTATGGCAACCATGTAGAGTCTTCTGATATCTTTATATATTCAGGTGAAGGTGGAAATTCGATGGTCAAGGGTGAAGAACCAAAGGATCAAAAACTTGAACGTGGAAACCTTGCACTAAAGAATAGCATTGAAGAAGGAACTCCTGTAAGGGTAATTCATAAACGTTTAGAGGTGGGTACTAATAGCAGATCTTCCACGACTTATGTTTATGATGGTCTCTACAAAGTGGTTGAATTTTGGCAAGAAAGAGAAAAATTTGGTAAAATGGTCTTTAAGTTCTCATTGAGAAGGTGTTTGGGGCAACCACGACTCACATTGGGAAAAGTTTTGGACAAGTCGAAGATGGCAATAGTTTCAAAGGGTGGTGTTTGTAAAAATGATATCTCCGAAGGGAAAGAGAGGATGCCTATTCGAATGGTCAATGAAATAGATGATGAGAGTACTCCATTTTTCAATTACACATGCAATATCATTTATCCAAATTTCTTCAAGGCGGTCGCACAAAGGGGTTGTCATTGCCTTGATGGATGCTCCGCATCTGACCCATGTTTTTGTGTAATGAAGAACGGAGGGGTTTTGCCGTATGATAACAATGGACATCGAACAAACAAGAATGCCCTTGTGTATGAATGTGGTCCTTTGTGTAAGTGCCCTTCTTCTTGCAAAAACAGAGTGAGTCAACATGGCATTCGTTTTAGACTTGAAGTCTTCAGGACTAAATCAAAAGGATGGGGTGTTAGATCACACTCGTTTATTCAAGAGGGAAGTTTTATATGCGAGTATGCAGGAGAAATACTTCAAGATAATGACGACTTTGCTATTAGTTCCGCGGAACATGGGAACGTTGGAAGATTCGTCAATCATAGTAGCTGTCCTAATCTATTTTGCCAAGCTATCCTCTATGATCACGACGACTTGAGAATGCCGCACATGATGTTATTCTCCAAGAAGAACATAGCACCAAAACAAGAGTTAACTTGTGATTATAATTCTAGTGGGCGAAAGTTTGTAATCTAAGATGGGTACAAGAGCTAGCTTGTGATTATAGGTCTAGTGGGGAAAGTATGTAATGGAAGATGGGTTTTCAAGATGAGATTTTGTTGTTGTGGTCGGATGTCCTAATGGTTAGTTTGGGATGTCTTGGTGATTAGTGAAAGTAAATATTATTACAAGACTTCCATGAAATTACCTTTTGTCTTGGTTGAATTGAATGCTTGCTTACTTTTCTTATTGAGTGTTTTACTAGGTAGGAAGGGCGTCGTGTTCACTCATATGGTAGATTCTTGAAATTTATATGCTTTTAAGTGGTGCATTTTTGCAGTTTTTATTGGCTTTCATGTCAAATTTGGATTGAGGGTTTTTGTGTCGGGAAATATGACAATTAATGGGAGCCAAGATAACCAACACGATCCTCTCCGGATCCTTTTGGTAAGGATTCTAGGGATGTGTAAATCGTGTCTGGTTATTGTAAATTGTGTGGTCAGTTTCTGTCAGGTACTATTTGTATTTAATTTTAAATAAAAATATTTAAACTGATTTTTGACTGCACGATTTACGATGAATGAATATGATTCACAGATTCCCAGAATCCTCACAAAAAAGGATCCGACGAGGATTCAGATTCCCAAGATAAAACCTTGGTGGTCCTAGGAGTTAACTTTTCCCACTTGCGTTATAAAAAAGGAAAACTAATGAAAATTGCTTGAAAACTTTGAGTTTTAATGATAAGGACATAATAAAGGGTAAAGTGAATAATACCAGGATTGACTTTTTAGTGTAAAAATGTGGTTTTTCATTAAAGTGAACATTACCGTGAGTTTTTCGTTAAAATTCCCTTATAAAAATGGGATGAAAATCTTTTCCGGATCATTTTTGTGATGATCCTAGGAATCCTCACATCCTATTTGTTCATCGTAAAATCCTCAAATTCTATATGTTCTCGTGTGGTCAACTTTTATTAGGTACTGCTTGTGCTTAATTTTAAACAAAAAATACAAAATAATTTCTGGTCGTATAATGTACGATGAACGTATAAGATGTGAGGATCTTAAGATCCTCGTAAAGAGAATCTGGATAGAATCAAAATCCATTAAAATGGGCTAACAAAAATTACAATATCTTCCACTATTAAAATAGGAAAACTAATGAAAAATCCAAATTTTTTAAAAAAACTAATGAAAAGGGTTTGAAAACTTTGAGTTTTAATGATAAGGACAAAATAAAGAGTAAAGTGAATAGTACCGGGATTGACTTTTTAGTGTAAAAATGTGGTTTTTCGTTAAAGTGAACAGTATCGTGGGCTTTTCGTTAAAACTCGCAAATTTTTTTAGTTTTAATGAAAAATGACAAATAAAAGTGTAGTGAATAGTATAAGGGAAAGGTAAAAATGTGGTTTTTCGTTAAAAGTGAATAGTATCAGAAGTGTTACGTTAAAACTCCCTAAAAATAATGGGAATATAAAGCAATCTCACAAAGATGTGGATACATTCTCTTGGTTTTCTCTCGAGAAAATTTCTCTCTTACGTACAAGTGAGGTTTTGTTTTCTCTCAAACTATCTCACCTTTTTCTCTAAGAGCAGTTCCACCGGGGAACTGATAGGTCGGCACTAGCCAAAAAAATGGCCCAGCACCCAGACTTTCCCTTCTAACCCAACAGATAGGCTGGCACTCAGCCTAAGTCAGGCAAGAGACTGGCTCAAAATCGACAGACCCAGATGCCGGGCCATCAACTGTGACAACCTCCGATTCTGAGCTGCAGCATAACAGAACAACGATAAACAAACCCATAAAGCAACCCAGCAAAACGAGAAAAACCCATATCACAATTTGCAATATCGAGCTCAAGAAATTAATTTTCTGAAAATTTGGATAGAAAAAGGCCACCTTCCAATAGAACCCATGAGGAAAAACTGGTTTTTGTGAGATTTGTGGCTGTTTGGTTGATTTTCCGGGAAAAACCAGTTGATGATGGAAAAGGTGGGTCGAGGAATCTTACTGCTGATGCGGTGTTTCATTTTTCTGTGGGGAAGACCGTAAGAGTTCCTTAAATCCGAATGGGGAAGGAGGGAGAGAGAGAGAGATGCAAAGGTGGGAGCGGTGGATTAAATGGGTTTAATAAAATTGATAATATTTTAATATATCAAATTATTATTTTATAATAAAATTTAATAATATTTTAATAAAATTGACTAGGCTATTAAGTTTTAGGTGTGGAGATGCGTTTGGCCTATTACTGTTCATTAGGATCTATCACTGTTCACTAAGTGAATAAATGCGCTGGATGCTGGCGCAAAATCTTTAGGGATGAAATTGCTCTCAGTGAGACTTTGTTTGGATACCCTCTGAATGGTTCACCTTCTCAGAATGAATGATTTGAGAGGATGAGGAATGAGGTTTTTATAGTCAACATTGTCAAATGGTAGCCGTACAAAGAAGAAAAAAAAACTCTCATTTGTTTCTTCCACCCATTTCTTTCAACATCTCTCGAACACTCTTTCCATTCCTTTTTAGGAAAAAAAATCCTTAGTTTTCTCTCCTATTAAGGAATCCCACATGTCAATCCGGCGAAGTTAGTGCTGGAGGCGGTGTTTCAGGTGTACGGTCAACGGGGAAGGCCACCAAAGGGATGAAAGATAAATGGGATTGTGACTTGTGCGTGCAAGCTAATACGGATAAAAAATTCAAAATTATTTCTAATTGCAGGATTTGTGGTGACCGATTATGATAAATTGGTCCCGGGATCCACAGAGAAGAATCAAGAGATGATCTTAGTCCTAAGTCATACCATCATGCTTAGCTTGCACAATCTTGTTTGTAAATTTTTCAATCGTGGAATTTGTTGGAGCAATATTAGAAAATATGAAAATAACAAGATAAATTCTAATAAGAATTGTAATAATAATAATAATCATAAAAGCCACAAACTAAATATCCTATAGCAATAAGTGTGTATTGTTTGAATTAACCTTCCCAAACTACACAAACACTCACGCACAATCACATCTATGTTCATCCGTGCATGTAGATATGTATGGGGAGGTATGTGTAAATTGCATCAACTTTTTTCTTCTCTCAGTCTTCCCTCTTTCTGGATTATATACATCTTAGTTTCTTTCCTTAAATCTTATTTTTGTGTTCTGCATGGGTGTCACAGGTCGCTGAGTATCTGGTTCCAAATATAAGATCCATCCCTGCCAACGGATCAATGAAGCCTACATACATTCGTTTCCTAACCGGGATATACATAAATAAATAAAAACCCTAACTTCCTAACGTCATTTCTTTATATGATCTCTTTATTATAGCATTTTTATCTGTGAATATGTGGTCATCAGTTTTTTCCCTTTCACTTTAATCTGCAGAGATTTGCTTTTGGAGCAAGAAGAAACAGGTATGTACTTGAAGATTGAATAGCTTCTTAATGTAATCTTTTTTATCTTACATTTCAATGTAGATTTACCTATTCTTTGTGTAACAATATTTTTGGTTAGGTATATGTTTCTTTATTGCAGTTTTTGTGGCACTGGCTGCAACTTAGATAAATTGTATTATAGGTAGGCAACTTAACAGTTAAAATTGAAACGATTAAGAGTGGGTTGAAGAAGAAGACCATAGCCACCAGATCAATCCACCACTCACATTAATTGCTCATTCAACTAATAGATGACCTTATGTTACTAGCCTGTCGAATCTAATTAATCACGTACCAATTTGAAATAGACCCCAAAGTTTGGGAGCTTGATGGAATACTTAAGCCCTATTCTTCAAGTTACTGTATGGTGGATAGTTAGCATCTCAACTGAAAAATCGGCACTCCCTCTTCTCATGCTAGTCTCTCTTTTAATAAACTAAAGCCTGTTTGGAGTACCTCAATACAAATGCTATATGGATGCCAAAAAACAAGATCAAGAGACCACAACACACTTTTTGAGCAATGCTACAGTTATCACATTGTGTATACCACATCTGTAATATTTCTCTAAGAGAGGTAGGTCGCACTGATACTATTAGGTCTCATCTTGATTAGAGAGATGGTGCAAATGTGATATACAAAATAGGCAATTCTTCAATGGTACATAGCATTGAGTGATACAAAAAATGAATGGTTAAGATTGAAATTAAAATATATAATAGTTGTGAAAATAAAATATAATGGTTAAAACACTCGTAGCATTGAAGCTAAACCCCAAAATATGATAAAGTAGCTTTTTTGCACCTTTTTGGATGCATGAAGAGACATTGACTAAGCTCTCGCAAGAATACACTAAAAGTCCAACAAAAATGTTTGTTGTAAGCTTCATATGGAAGTCTTAATGTGTCTTAAAGAGCAAGGAAAGTGTGTTAACACAAGGAAACAATTAGGACCCATTCCAGAAGTTAGAAGTTGGCGATGAGTTTCAATACAGGGTTTAACTAGTTATTGTTGGCCTTCATCATATTGATTACATGACGAAGGATAGGAAAAGTTCGGCCACAAGCATTGTGGATTCAGGACGTTATAGCAAGCATGCAGAGTCTTCTGATATCTTGATAGTATTTTAGGTGAAGGTGAAAATATGGCACGCAAAATGAGGTCTGCGCACGAAAAATGAGGCGGGTCTAGCGCACACAGTATGAGACGGCTCGAGTGCACGTAAAATGAGGCGGGTTCGAGCGAATGTAAAACAAGGCAAGCTCTGTGCATGGGTCAATCATTGTTGCCCACAAGAAGCATTGGTGACAAAGGTGGAGCATATATAAGCCACTATCAATATAGTGTAGGTTTAGTTTTAATCTCACGAGTCAACCATTGTTGCCCGTACAAACCATTGGTGTCGGAGGTAAGGCATTTATAGGGGTAGGGTTTAGTTTTAAAGCCACGTGTCAACCATGGTTTGCCGTACAACCATATGTGTCGGGGGTAGGGCCTTTATAGGGCGTAGGGTTTAGTTTTAATCTCACGGGGGCATTTATGGGCTGCTATCAATAGGGGTTAGGTTTAGTTTTAACCCAAGGGGTTAACCATGGTTGGCTGGACGAAGCATTGTTGCTGGGGGTGGGTCATTTATACGCCATTATCAACCATGACAAAATTCACACTAAAGTCGTCACTTTTAACATAATAACCCTTCTTAAAAAGAAAAATTTCTTCGCCGCACTACAACGAGCAATAAAAAGTTCAAGTGCTAGGCGTTGAAACGTGCCAAATTCAGGGTGTTACTTTTCCTCTGCCTAAACCAGCA